ATCTTCCATAAAGTTTTTTTTTTTTTTTTAGCTTAGTGGCTGTCTTTTGCTTTTTCATGGTTAATTAACTCAGTCCAGGTTTTTAATCTTTACTCCATCAGGAATCTTGCAAAGCGCTTATTTTTTATTAGTGGGGATAACGGGAGAATTATGTAATTAGCAATTAGCAGTTATGTGTTCTATTGGGGGGGGGACAAATTCTAAACTCTTCAATCTATGTCCAAACCATAAAAAATTTTCAGATGCTTCAATATAATAATCATAATAAAAACTTCATATACAAAATTTTCAATTTAACATAATTTGAAGCCTGCTTTTAAGGCAAAAAGAATGTAGATTATATATATGTGCATACCTATATTTATTAAGATTGCAAATGAAATTTACTTCGCAATGTGTGCAATTAAAATTCTTTAATCTTGATTTATTTTTTCCAACATGAATTGAAAATAAGTAAATAAAAGTAGCTAAAATTTCTGATTTTTTAATCTTGATTTTTAATTTCCTTAATCTTGATTCAGTTTTTCGGTATAATTTGAAAAATAAATAATTAAATAAAAATATTTTTTTAATCAAAGCAAGTGTTCAGGGGGTTTTTTCCATTAGTTAAAATTGATAAATACTAAACCTGTAATGAATTTTTTCCAAAAAAATTTTTTATTTTGAGAGTTTTTAAAAGAATGCTTAAGCATGTGGAACTTGGAAGCCCCTAAAAGTTGATACTGGTGATCCAGGTACCACTGAAATTGCAGTTGTCATGTTCTATATTTAATGATCAGACACTTTATTTAATAGCCATTAACCTTGCACCACTACAAGGGCTGGAACTGGTGGTCATTTCATTATGGAAGCACCAAATAGGTGACCACCATTGTCTCCTATGAAGAGATGAACAGTTACAACTATGCCTTCTCCAGGATTCGAACCCAGGCTCATCATAACGGCAGTCAGGGTCACTAACCACTGTATCGACTGGGCGACTTATTTAATGAACGCTTCTATTGGATATCAATAAAATTTATCTTTCCATAGGTTTAAGTTAAAACATTTAATTCATTTATTTTTTTAAGTTAGCATTCAAATGCTTAAATGATAGAAACAAGTTTTAAAAAAAATTCAAGTTTTCAAGATTTGTGGTATTTGAGGATTTGAATGTCCTATGCCCATTTATTACATATCATTGTTACTGCAATAAACTGTATGCCCAAATCTGCCAATTTTGATTTTAACTCTCTCAATGATTTAGCTTTTGGATCTGCTCATGAAGAAAAACTATGTTTAAACAGTATTTATTTATAATATTTGTGTAATTACTTATTTCACTCATTGTTGTTATAACCTTGCATTTATTAGGATGATGATTAGATAATTAAGGAAAGTAAGAAAGCAAAGTATTGGTAGCAAACAAAGTAATATATACATTATGTGACAATGAAAAATTAGTGATGTTTATTACACCACGATATACGTACAAAAAGAGCAACTATACAGTATACTGGATAAATTGTAATACCTTTGTTAGCAGCGATACAGTCAACAACATGTCACAAAGAGTATGCAGATTGTCAGCTGAGAGGCAGATGTCCATTCCCTGTTAATCATTTGCCATATTTTATTTTCTGAATGTGGCAGTGGCAACACACTTAAGCGATGTCCAATCATGGCCCTGGCATGTTCGATGGGTGAGATGTCTGGAGAGGAGACAGGTAGACAGGAAAACAGCTAGGTACTTAACAGAGCATATTGACTGATGCTCGTTATGTGTGGTCTGTTGTTATCCGACTGGTAGATGGCATTCGCAAACCCCTGAAAGAAGGATAGTGTTATCGGATGGGACACACAGGGTTCATAGCGGTCCTTACAAGTGCGTATAAATCCTTATATTTGAAAATAAAATATAAAAACCTTTATAGGTGCTTACTTTTTCTCTAAAGTACTTATTTTTTTATTTTTTGCTTTTAGTGCTCTTTTATATATATATATATATACGAACAGACATTTTTTCCCTATACCAAAGCTGAAGCTAAATAAACAACTTTTCTTCCTTATAGAACGTCAGATGGTGAATCATGCTCCCAGAAATAGCTTTTTGCCCCTTTCTCTGCATTAACATAACCTTTGGTGTGTGTGAGTACAGACAGGTGCACGTCGTTCTATTGGTCAAAGAATTGCGAAAGCGGTAGAAAATTCTAGTACATTCTCATCCAGTATTACACATGTTTTAATTTCTATCAAGATTTTAATAATTTACATTCTTGTTCTGCGTGTTCAATTCATATTCGCGCTTATTATGATCGGTATGCTTATATTATGAGCATATGTATGAATATTTATAATAATATTTTTTCAGAAACTGCTGATGTATAGATAAACTTCAGAAATGGGTAAGTGTGTTTTAACACAGATTAGTTTTCTAAAGAATAATATTTGGAATGCCATAAATAAAGTAATCAAATAGTCAAAAAAAAATTGGGGGGCAGTGCATTATACAGTATGGAAGTTAGGGGTTCTCCCCTTTTTCTGCAAAATCTCAAATATTGAAACTGTTACAGTTTACAGCAAAGCAAACAGCGGACTCTTTTTTTTTTTTTTTTTTTTTTTTTTTTTTTTTTTTTGTCACTTTCCAACCTGGATTGAATAGGACTAAAAGTTCTACGGCCTACCAACTCAAGAGAAGAATGTTTCTATTCCGGAAATTTAACTCAGTCTGTTCAAAATTAGAATGAAAAACACCCTAGATTGGTAAATCTCTTTATTAATCAATATGAGTACGGTAGGGATATTGCGCTGACGGCGAAGTGTCCTGCTCGATGATAAATATGCCACATCGGCGCATGACGGTGAAAACCAAATGAAGCAAAGGGGCGTTTTCCTTTATTTAGTTATTTATTCTCCGAATACCAGCAGCTGTTGATTCCGATTGCGTAATATCACGTGCGGAAGAATTAAGGTGCACATATTGCACAATAACGTTTGCAATATTTTGCAGAGATAAAAGAGTTTTTTTGTGCTTGCTAAGCAGATTATTTTTCAGTTCCATTGGGCTATTTTTTATATGATGTACATATCGAAATGTCAAAAGCATTATTTAGCTGAAAAATCTAAAGAACGGCTACAATCTACCCCCTTCCTCTTTTACAAGTTATGCTCGACTATCCGGAATTTTCAGGTATTCGGCAATTTCCGAGTATGCCGGTTAGTTAAGCTCTTACTTTTAAAGGATGACTGCATGAAACAATTTCCCGTCTTCTGTTTTCAGAAAAATTCCTTTTTTTTTACTTAAATTACTTTTCTTGCAATATCTGTTAAGGGAAAACTGTTATACAATGAATATTTAGAAAATGTTCAGAATTTTGATTTAAGTTAAATTATTTAAATATTAATATGAGTGGAAAATAAATCATATTTATTTTTAGGTGCCAAGCGAATATAATAAATATGGCTTATTATTATTATTTATTTTCTCTATTTTGAACTGAAATTTCATCATTAAATCTTGTAGTATAATTTAGTTCTGCTTAGGTTTTTTTTTTTTTTCTCTCATTGTAAACTAGTTCTGTAAATTGAACTGTTATTTAAAATTTAAAAAAAAAGAATGTAATTGTTTTCCATGGTTGAGTAATGCTCATTCTCTCTTAATAAATACTGAATTTCTCATATTTTAAATTACAAGTCTAATTTTTCTTTTAAGGTTCTGCAGTTGTGTATAATGCAATTAGACATGTACTTATTTTTTAAACTAAAATGTGGCTATGAACCCTGACACATTATCCATGTATTGTTGAGCCTCATCATGCTGCCAATAATATGAATTAGTGGTGATCTGTTATCATAGGCAGTAACAGCCCAAATCATGACAACATGTTGTCATGCAGTGGCATTGTACAGTTGTGTCCATTTTGGATCTGTCATGACATTGCTACCAGACTCATATACAGTAACTTTCATTTCTTACACACAAGTGTGACTCATTGGAAAACACATTATGCCAAAGTCTATGTGGCCCACCATTGTAAACAGAAGCACCTGTGTAGTTGGCTCAGTGGCAGCCTTCTTAATGGATGCTTTGCGTGTAGCCATAAGTTGCCAGTTGGTGAATAATAGCTCTGGTCGATACAGAAGCATCAAGAATGTTGTGCACCTGCCACAAAATGTTAATGGAAAAAGCCTGCAAATGCATCAGTCAAAGCTTGCTGAAATCACTTCAACAGTACCACCATAGCCACTGCGCTGTAGATGTGTGTAGGTGCTGGAAGTGCCTCAGTTGTCAGCATCCTGGAATTCTCCATACTAATGCTTTTTCTGCAATATAGAAAAAAAATTGCAAAAAAATGATTGTGTGACAGAGCAGCACAACAATTGTCAGTTCTGCAGAATGTTTTTTGCATAACTTGGGGCACTGTTTCTATTCTGCAATTTGCATATTCTTTGGAGCATACATTCATGGTGTTACATTTTCACTGTCGTGTAGTGTATATTTATTTATATATCAAGTGACAAGTAACATGACTGAATAAATGTGATAATTTCTCTCAAAGGCTTTAATACCATTCAATAACAAATAGCAATGGCTAGTAACCTGTAAAATATAGCATGTGGCTAGAAAATATGAGAGTTAGAATGATCAAGTGTAGGTATTTCCCGCAGGCTATAATTCCTATAATCATGTTTAGTCATCTCCTAAAAAGTTGCTTCTTTGACATTTGATTTCTTATTGTAATAATAACATTATAGGTAGGATGATTGTAAGGTCACCAGTAGACATCAAGATATGTTATGAACTGATAGAGGATTAAACTTTGATTAATAGTCTAGGAATAAATCCTGTAAAAAGATTTAAAATGTACTTCAGTATATGAATGTATTTCTAAAAGTAAAACTTTTACAATAATTAAATGAATTAGATAAGAACAAAATGTAGTTCTTTTATTGTTGTAACTTAAAAGAGAAAAATAAATTTATATTTCTTTTGCATTAAATGTCTTTTGATTTCTTTTTAGGTCCACGATTTAAAGAATGGTATCAAAAGGTAAAAACAGAGGAAAATGTTATTACTCAGTCAAAAGAAGAGCTTATATCCAAGTTTTCAAGACAGAATTGTGCTCACCAAGATCTCTTTATTAATGAAAATGAGTCGGATGGACCTAAAATTGCATCAATTACATCACTGTTGACTCAAGGTGTTACTGAGCAATACAGTTCTCATGAGTGTCTTGGTAATACTAAAAGGGAAACTGAGATTGGTATAGAGATGCAGCAAAATAAAATTTTAGCTGATACCAGAACATTGTGTGAGCAAATAATGAAAAATAATGACTCTGAATCCAGACTCCTAAGCTTGAGGCAGGATGATAAAATAACCTTTCATAATCAGTCTGTAGTGGATAAAACACAACTTGCTTCACTAATTGAAGAGAATATTTTATTTGAGAAACTGCATGAGAGCATTAGTGAAGATGAAAGGAAAACTGAGTGCAGTCAAAATGCTGTGGGTTCAGAAATTAAATTTTCTGGACATGAACATAGAAGACTTGAAATACAAACAAATGCATTTCCAAATCGTAAAACTTTAAATGAGAATTCATTGTCCAATTTTGAAAATGATACTAGTCAGGAAAACACCAATTTTCATCCTATTGACACTTTCTTTTTGTTAATGGCTTCTACCGTGAAAAAGTTTAACTTAGCTGATCAGCATTTTGTAAAAACTCAAGTTTTTGCATTAGTTAATGGAATGGAGGAGAGATATATACAACAGAATAAAAAATTTGACTAAGGAATAGGTATATATGAACCAAAGTTGTGTGGGCTTTTACATTTGGAGCACATAATGTTATACTTTTTTAATATCAAAGCATTTTTATCATTATGATCATTCTGTACTTTATTAAAATCTGACCATTTAAAATTACTTACTGACTTCAGAATGATGTTCCTATCATATGATCTTGTAATTTTCAGGTCTGAAGTTTCAAAGTAATGAATTTGAAATCATATGAATATTTTATAAAACAAATTAGCAAATTTAAGCTGTATTTTTACAGTTTCCTTTAAAGAAATATATTTGTAAATGATCATGTCATTTGTAAAGTTTTCTTGTTATTAAAATAGATATCATTACCAGATTTCATTTTCCTCTTGTATGATTTAACGCTAATTTTTAATTTTTTTATAATTTTAACAATTTTAATTATTCTTACTAATTGCATATTTTCCTCCCTTTTTCTACTTATTTTACTAGGGTTTATACAAAAACCGACTTTTTTGAAAAACAGGTTTTCAAATTCAATATTTCCAAAAAAACCGGTTTTAACCAGTTTTTGAATTTTTGTCAAAAAAAAATAGAATAAGGTTAAGTATTTAATTTAATTTGTATAAAATAACAAAAAATGAAATCACTATCAAAGTAAATATATATATATATATATAAAAAAAAGATTATACATAGGTCAGTCAGAAAGTTAGTTGAACTACTGTGTAAATATGTTCTGTCTAAGACTATTTGGATGACACTGTGTGGCAACACTTCAGACATGTACCTTTATCACATGACAGAGCGGCTTCCCTGAGGCAAGTTTAGTTTCTCTGATAATCAGTCGCAAACATGTCTCAGCAGCTGCAAATAGCGTCCAAATTGGAAATGCATGCAGTAATTTGTATTTTGTGGGCAAAAAGGTGCAACAGCACTGAAATTTATGGGCAGTTGCATGAAGTGTATGGTGAAAATGCAATGTCACGTCAAGCTATCTCGAAATAGTGCAACATGTTTGAGAATGGACGTACAACGGAAATCGTTGCTCGCATGAATGAGTGCATTCTTGTAAACAGATGCATAACAATAAACGAAATCTCAAATGAACTGGATATTTCTCATGGAAATGTGCATAAAATTATTGCCGATCACCTTAAATTTCGTAAAGTTTGTGCTCCATGGGTGCCACGTCTATTGATGGAGGAGCATAAAGGAAAGCGTTTTGAAATTGCATTTGCATTTCTGCAACGTTACCAAACGGAAGGAAATGAGTTTTTGGACAAAGACTGAGATGTGTTTTGTGACTGGGGATGAAACTTGAATTCACCACTTCTCACCTAAAACGAAACGTAGCTCGCTCGAGTGGAAACATTGCAGTTCCCCAACACGAACAAAGTGTCAAACTGTTCCATCTGCAGAAAAGGTGATGATGACGCTACGCTGTTTTTCGACAGAGAAGGCGTGGTACATACAGAGTTCATACCAAAGGGTGCCACAATTAATGCATCTTCTTATTGTGAAACACTAAAATGATTGCGCCAATCACTTAAAAATCGACGACCAGGTAATCTATCAAATGGCATAGTGCTCCTGCATGACAATGCAAGACCACATGCAGCAAAACAAATGTGTGACCTTCTGAAAAATGTTAAGTTGGGAAGTGTGGAATCACCCTCCTTATAGCCCAGACCTTTCACCTCCTGACTTCCATGTGTTTGGTCCCATGAAACAAGAACTTTCAAAGCGACAGTATCATTCGAATGCTGAAGTGAAAGGTGCAGCCCAACAATGGTTATCAGACATTGGACGGGATTTCTTTGCAGAAGGCATTGAAAAACTTGTACCACACCTCGACAGATGCTTAAATAACGGAGGTAATTACGTTGAAAAGTAGATTTTGAATGGAACTTTATGATATAGATAAAGTTATTGTAAAATTTTGCTCCTGTTTTGTTTTCTTAGGCAGTGCAACTAACTTTTTGACTGACCTCGTATATACATATTACTTACACAAAATAATGAAATCAATATCAAAGTCAAAATGTATAAAAAAAAATTAAGGATTACATATACATATTACATACACAAAATAACGAAAACTCAAACAAAAATTTCAAATAATATTTATATTATTTTCACTAATTTTAATTTTTCCTAAAAAAATGAGATTTTAAAAAACATAAAATATCTACTGAATGGTGGCTAAGTCTTATTTTGGACACAGTATTGCCTGAAATTGTTTGTTCACTAGTTACTGAGCTTGCTATTATAGTTTTCAGGTCATCACATAACAAATCCAAGTTTGTCCTTTTATTCATTGCCTCATATAATGAAAATTCAGCTTTAATTGTCGTTGGATTTTTAAGTTTTTCTTCAGGGTCTTCAAAAAAACTTATGAATTGATTTTTTCATAGCTTCAAAAAAAAAACATTACTCTGATATATTCTAGACAATATCTCTCCAGATAACTTAATAATTTCGGTTTTTGAAGCTAAAGAAAGTACACTAGATTTCTTTGCTGAACTAGAAATGTTTTGTGGATTTTGCAAATACAGCAAAAGAGTTGCTAATTCTACTTTGTGTTCTTTCTTGAATTCGTTCTTCTAAAGTATATAATAGTTTCAAACAAAAATTAAAATATACCTTCACTTGTTAGTAAATTGACATCTCGTTGCAGTAAGCCTTCAGCTGCGAGACGAATCGGTCCAAAGACTTTATGAAGTTCTAAAAGTTTAGGATATTGAACTTAATTCTACTTAAAAGAATAAGCAATATAATTCAATTCTTAAATAACACTTTTTTTTTTTTTTTTTACTGCCAGAAATCTTCCAATCATGTCATCCATACTATTCCACCTTGTTTAACTGTGTGGTGTCTAACTAACTAACTGAATTAAATCTAATTCCTTTCCTTTTTCTTTTTTTGATTTGGTGTTTCTTAATGGAGATTTTCTAAAGAACTTACAAGTTTTTAATTTGTGAAACTGATTGTTTGTAATTGTCAAACAAAATAGGAATAGAATGATCTCGGTTACAAATATAATAAAGAGAATCATTATATTCGTATTCATCTTCATCTTCCGATTCATCACTTGAAACATTTACACTGAAGTGACAAAAGTCATGGGATACCTCCTAATATTTTGTTGGTTCTCCTTTTGCCCAGCGGAGTGCAGCAACTCGACGTGGCATGGACTGAACAAGTCGTTGGAAGTCCCCTGCAGGAATATTGAGCCATGCTGCCTCTATAGATGTCTATAATTGTGAAAGTGTTGACGGTGCAGGGTTTTGGGCACGAACTAACCTCTCGATGATGTCCCATAAATGTTCGATGGGATTCATGTCGGGCGATCTAGGTGGCCAGATCATTTGCTGGAATTGTCCAGAATGTTCTAACCAATCGCGAACAATTGTGGCCCGGTGACATGACGCATTGTCATCCATAAAAATCCCATTGTTGTTTGAGTACGTGAAATCCATGAATGGCTGTAAGTGATCTCCAAGTAGCTGAAGGTATCCATTTCCAGTCAATGATTGGTTCAGTTGCACCAGAGGACTGAGTCCATGCATGTAAAAACAACCCAGACCATTATGGAACCACCACCAGCTTGAACAGTGCCTTGTTGACAACTTGGGTCCATGGCTTCGTGGGGTCTGCGCCACACTCAAACCGTACCATCAGCTCTTACCACCTGAAATTGAGACTCATCTGACCAACCCATGGTTTTCCATTCGTTTAGGGACCAACCGATATGCTCACGAGCCCGTGAGAGTCACTGCATGCGATGTTGTGCTGTCAGTAAAAGCACTTGAGTCGGTCTTTTGCTGGCATAGCCCAAGAAAGACAAAATTTTGCTGCACTGTCCTATTGGACACGTCCCTCGTACGTCCCACATTGATTTCTGCAGTTATCTGATGCAGTGTTGCTTGTCTGTGAACATTGACAACTCTACGCAGATGTTGCTGTTCTCGGTCGTTAAGTACAGGTGGTCGGCCACTGCGCTGTCCATGGTGGGATGTTTTGCCTGAAATTAGATACTCTCGGCACACTCTTGACACTGTGGATCTTGGAATGCTGAATTCCCTAACGATATCCAAAATGGAATGACCGATGCTTCTAGCTCCAACTACCATTCCACGTTCAAAGTCTGTTAATTCTCGTCATGCGGCCATAATCACGTCAAAGCCTCTTCACATGAATAACTTGAACACAAATGAAAGCCCTGCCAAAGCAGTTCACATTTTTACATTTTCTATGAGATACTATTGCCATCTGTATATTTGCATATTGCTATCCCATGACTTTTGTCACTTCAGTGTATTTCGGCTTCAGCTTCAGCATTTCTCTATGTTTATATAACACATCAATAACTGCTAAGTGGATAGTGTGTGCATAGCATAGTTGATTAATTATAGATGATAATTTGCCAATTTTTTTCATAACAGCAGAACCATCATTTATTGCTATCAGTTTCTAGATTCAAGTTGAAATTTTGTAGCCTTTCAGATACCAATTCTGATGTTCTCTGAGCATCACAAGGACCAGCTATTGGCACTAATCTCAAATTGAAATCTTCTGCCACGTGGTGTATATTAATGTTTAAATGTCTATGATTTCTTTTGCTAGTCTTCTCATCTAAAGTTATAAAGAATTTTTTCTTATTATTTTTTATTCAATCTAATTCAATAATAGTCTCACGTTTAGCATTGTCATAAAACAAATGAATGAGATCCATTACTCTAGAGTTGTTTCTTGGTAATGAATATCCTTATTGTTGAAGAGACTTTTTTATGAATGAATTGTTTGTAATGCTGTTAATAGGAAATCCATCCATAGCTGCAAGTTTTGATATGATTTCTCCTAAACTACTCCTTTTCACTTTCATAAACTTTAAAATATTTGTTTGCTTTTTGAAGTAGAGGAATATTCTGGCGTTTCTTCTTCGCCGATCGTTTCTGATTTCTTCGCAATAATTATTTTATGAACTGCTTTTACTATTTAAAAACGTAAGGCAATAAAAAAATTAAAGACCATTTAAATTAACAAACAAAGATTATTAAACATGACTGATAAGAAATGAATTAAAATTTCGAAAGTTTTGCAAAAGCAAAAAAAATTTGTTACCAAGCATTGACATATTATATACTGGTGTAATGTAAGGTTCACAAACTCCCTCAGTTCCAATCAACCAGTGTTGCCAATATCAGAATGTAAAAATGCCCATCGATAAAATTGACTGATGAGTACTTATAGGTGCTAATCAAAATTGATTTTTGACTTGTAGATTTATTTTCAGGGTCAGGTTTTTGTTTTACATTTTAAGATTTTAATCACAAATATTGGCTTATGTTAATAATAATTGGTGGACTTCAA